AAACATGAGCTGAGATAACAGGGGAGCACTGCCTCCATGGGACACCTGGCTACAGCTCGGGGAGACGATCTGACAGAGACACGAGGTCGACCGGGACACCACTCAAGATGTGGCCACCCAAAGCGGAGCCCAGCCACACCAATTTCCGGGAGGGGGGGGGATGGCTCTTCTTATTTAAAATCCAGAGATAATTACAGAGAACACAAAGCCTGCTTTCCAAAAGGCAACGATAAATCAATTTTTCTTGCCTGTGCTCCATCTAGATGTAGCCCCTCAGTTCATCTTAATAAACAAGTTAGTCATTCAAAGGAAAATAAATGAAATGGTTTGCCTTTGAGGGACGGTTTTTATTTTTAATAGTTTGGTGCTACGGTGAGAGAAGTCATAATCTATGATCTGAACTGTCTGCTGTTCCTGGGGACCACTGAGGATAGAGTGGGGGTAGGGTGGGGACCTTGTTCAGGAACACAGAAGTGAAGCCTGCTCCTATCCAGCATGCCTGCATCTGGTCTCTAGGAACCGCATAGAAAGACGAGGCCATTTGTCTTCAGGAAATGTCAACACCTATGGGGTGATTTGTCATTGCTTTGTTTTTGTTTTCTTAGGTCAGTCATTCCAATGGAAATGCAGTTCCGGGGATGGGGTGTGAGTTAGAGAGAGGGTGCTTACCTAGTATGAGAAAGATGCTGAGTTCAGTCCATGGCACTCAAAGAAGGGGAAACACGCAAGCCGGAGCTCGTCTTGAGGAAATAATGGATGACATCATTATGAGGCTGGACCCCCTTTCATAGGAAATCTTGGAAGATTAGTTCATGCCAAAATCTTATCTTTCTAAAGGGAAGTACAGGGCACGTTTTCAAGTTACAAAAAGAACTCCAAGCACCCTGCTTGTTCTATCTCCTTGGGAAACACCAAACAAGACTCCACTGGATCCCTGACATCCCAACCCTAAGATTCCTATGAGGACCTTTGATGTACCCTGCTACCCGCCACGCTACTGGGATGTGGTGGCAGCTTTCCGAGTTGAGGCCCAGTGGGAGGAAGTTAAGTCACTGAATTGTACCCTTGGAGGAGCTACCGGGCCCTGTTTCTTCGCTTTTCTTTGCTTCCCAACTGCCATAGATGTGTATAGTTGTGTCTTCCCCGCTATACACATCTATGGTCTAGCCTGGATGCATGTCAACAAAGCCAGTCAATCATGGTCTGAAACCTCCAACAGAGAGCCCAAGTTAATTTGTCTTTTTATTAAGTTGATTTATTCAGGCATTGCTACAGAAAGAGAAAACTGAATATCATACATAAACAGTCTCAAACCTTAGGTATATACTATATTTTCTCATATGTGAGTGTTCTTATGCTAAAGGGGAAAGCATGGGTCTGGGAAGGAAGAGAAGCCTTAAGGAATGGCCATGAGGAAAATATTTAGGCAACATGAGAGATGGTTTGATCAGTAAAGTCTGTGCTATTCAAGATTCAAGCATGAGGACCCGAGTTCGAGTCTCCAGCACTCACACAGAAAGTTGGGTCCTGGGGTGGGCATCTATTATCTGTGCCTGTAATCTGAGTGACAGGGAGGCAGAGATGGGGATTTCTGGAGCTAATTGGCCGGTCAGCTAATCTAACTAGATTCACCAAACTCACCAGGTTCAGATTCAGTGAGCACCTACTTGAACAAAAGAACACAAGAACAACTGTGGAGGATACTCACCCTTGACTCCACGTGTACCTACACACATATACACACATTGGCCTCCACATGTACCTACACACATATACACACACATTGACCTCCACATGTACCTGTATGCACACGTACACACACATTGGCCTTCACATGTACCTACACACATGTACACACACATTGACCTCCACATGCACCTACGCACATGTACACACACA